AATATCAAATGAAAGGTTATTTAAAAACATTTCAGAAAAAATATAAAATATAAAATTTTGAAAATTGGAGTTTTGTATAGAAGAACTTTGATTGTATTTGTTTTTTTTTATGGTTTTCATGGTTTGTAGACAATGGGCGTAACACGTTTTTATATTATTATTTTTTTTTTTAAATTTAGGTTTTTCTACACAACATATCAAAAAATCAGCGATGTATTTTTCTTCCTTTTTGAGTTACGATTTTTTGAATTTATGATGTTTAGAAATTTCGCCCCAATACGACTAGATTACCCTGCGTTCAAAAAATCGTAACTCAAAAACGAAGAAAAATACATAGCTGATTGATATTGAAAAAAAAATATAATACAGGTACATGTACATGTATTTTTAAAACTGACATAGATCTTAAGCATTATTGTGTGATTGATTACAATACATCAATTCTCGACAATTGGAAGGATACTATCAAGAAAAAAAACGCAACATCAAGAAGTTAATCGAAAAAGAAAATCCAAACAGTCCATCAACTGGAGAGTTGAAATTAATCATCTTCGTAAATATCAACAAACTCGAACGGGTTTAGTTCAAGGCCGTTTGATTACTCTCGCAAGTTGCTAATGCGTTTGCCGCATTCCGTGGCGTTGGCGTCTGCTTGTACACCTATCCAAAATCGTAAATGTGTATCATTTTTTCTGTACCCGGCGTCGTCTGCATTGGCGTATCTAATGAGGGTGCCTAGGGGGCCAAGCCCCTCCAGAATGATCTAGACCCCCTTCAGAATTTTTTGAAGATTAAAGATGTTTAAATTGTCGCAATTAGAATCACCAAAAATCTGGAGGGGGTCAGGCACCCTAGACACCCCCTTAGTTGCGCCAATTGTCGTCTGATTGAGCCACACGATTATATCGGATAGGTGACGCGTGTACCGGTTTAGTACTGACTTGCTCCAGCCTCCAACAGGCACTTAATCTTCGGCAGAAGCAAAAACGAGCTACTAAGAGAGAGAGAGAGGGGTGACGCCTCATCCGAACGAGTAGGTACTATCATATCAAGCCGTGTAAACTTTATTCATAATCATACATTTGGATAACCTGTTGGACTACTGGCGTTATGTCTGATTGATCGGGTCGTAAATGTGGGGGTTGAGGTTATCTGTATAGCCGGTGGGTAATGGCCGAAAAGACAGATGAAACCAATAAAATCAGCTTGTCTTCTCTGCAATAGCTCCGTAGAGTTGCGCGCTATTTCGTCGAATGAAACCTATTTAGACGCGTCTACTTTTATCATGCTCACGGATAAATAGCATGGCGAAGTGAATTGGGATACGCCTGTGGTGGTGCGACACCCTACTATTCTGATCGTACAATGGTTGAGAATGATGCTGCAATTTTTTTGTTTGGGACACCGTAAATATTGAAAAGTTATTCGAGAACGACATACCGTGTAAACGAACTTTTCGATCCTATGGACAGGATCTCCGCCTATCAGTACCGGTTCGACTGACTATATATTTAACTGGTAAGTACAGCGGTAGTAACATTGATCTGGTTAAATACCAACAGGATTATTTGTTGGCTCATTTCGCATTGTAGATATCTGGCCCGGTGTATTCAAGTAGCAATGTCTTGTCCTTTACCTACGATGTTGGAGTAACTGATGGTATCCGGAATAGTTAATGATGCTCGTAAACTGCGGAACGATATTGAATGGATTCAATAGGTTGTGGTCAAATGGCAATATATTATGATATGCGTGTCGAATGAAAATGTACGCCTCACGAAATTAAAGCTAGTAAAAGATCATGATGTCATAATATTTGGAGAAGTGCTTATTATTTATTGACTTGATATATATTTACCACGTTTAAGGCTACTTGAAACATCATTCTAGATTTTTGCTTGTTGGTTTCTGGACCTTATCTTACCATTAATAGTCCAACGTCCTTCGATGATACTTCACTTGCTTGCATGTCCTCCTCGAGCAACTAGTGGTCTCATTAGCGCACAGTGGGGCAGTGAACCCGGTAGCATGGCCAAAACCTCTAGCGCCGTGGGTATGTATTCTACAGATTTGCAGTCTTGGACAGTTTATCAAGGGTCAACTTTTAATGTTTTCTGATTAGTTCGTATTCTTGCCACATGCTCAAATCTATATTTTTAACGGAGGGTCCTAGAAGGATGGTTTTTCGGCATTGGTTGTGCATTTTATAGTTCTGAAAAATGTTGTCGAATACATCAAAGACCTAAAGTGAGACATCGGCCTACTAAGAAAATTGGCCGTAAAAAGGCGTTTTCATATTTTTTACAGTATATAGGCACATAATATAGCCCAACATTAAAAGCTTCATGAATGAGTACATTGTCGAAATAATGGAACCTATCCAAATCGCTCATGTTTTGAAATGTGTTATACATTTTTGTAAAAATATTTACAAAAATTGATTAAATAGTGGAGTGTAAAAATGTCAATAACTCGAAAAGGGACAAGATTTTTTATGGGAATGGCTCGTGTAGACCTAGTAAGATGTTCCATTGAATATATTTTTCAAATTCAATATATTCTAATGACGTTTCATAAACATGTTTGCTGATCCTTGTTGTGCTATGCAGATTGAAATATCCAACTAGGTATCTACATTAATAACTCTGAACGGACAACTTACGTGCATTTCAGTCCTAATTTGAGTAAATGGCATTTTTATACACCCCTAGTTTGAAACATTTTAGAAAATACTTTTATAAAAATGTATGCAATGCATATACATTTGTAATAATTGGGATTTTTTTTTGCATTTTGATAAACTACTACGTATTATCATAGAGGTAATTCTAAGACCAGAAGTCCCAGAAGAAACGTGCTCAACTTTTTGGCTCAGCTCTGGTACGCTCTTCGGTCCCAAGCTAATCGATACACCCCTCGAAACATAGGAAAATCCACGAACCCCTCATTTCATATGTCAAACAAACATAGTGTACTAGAATTTCGACTAGAATGGGGTACGTTAATCGTTTGCTTGGGACCAATAGGATAGTCAAGTGGTGAGCCAATTTTAAATCGTTAGTTTCCAACCTGTGGTACATATTATTCTTACACTTCTGGGCTACACACGTTAATAAATTGTAATAATTATTGTCTTGTTGAAGTTTTTGGGAGTCAATATCTCACTTTCAGACTCAAAACTATAAAATGCACCACTTTTCGGAAGAAACCATCCTTATAGAACGCTCCGTTCAAAATATAGATTCGAGTGCCACCTATATGCGGCAGGAATACGAACTAATCAGAAACCACCAAACTAAACTTAACAACTTTGTCGAAGTCTGCAAATCCACACACTGAAGCAAAACTTCACGTAATCGCCAGGTGAAATTCTTTAAATTTCATTGGATGTTCAATAAATGTATCGCTTTGAAAAATGCAATGAAAGTTGTGTTTCAACGATTTTTATATGACTAGGGTTAACTAACCCATTTCCGGCCTATTAAGCACAACCCGCACCAAACGAAATGTTATTATTACTGATGGCTTTCCGTACGTACCGTAAGATTTGATAAAGATAAACAAATGGTTGAGATATTGTCAAAAGTCTAACACTGCTTCTTGACGGCGTAACGCATTGAAACGCCATTGAAACGCTAATGAATTCACTTCGGCCTATCGGATGAAGATAAAAATTGATTCGGTTGGAGCGCTTCTTTTGTTTTTGGGAATAATGGGTGCAAACCTTCACATCACGGGTTCTCATTGACTTCGTTCGGTAGCTAATTAACTAAAGTATCGTACCAAACGCATAATTGACTTGTTAACTCTGAAATCATGTATTTATTTGAAGTTTTCTACTCGATAGGCCCAAAATGGGCGATTAGCCCGAAGTAATTCTCTATCCTATCATTTAAGACTCATATTTTGGAGAACAGTAGCTACCTGTAAAAAATACGGGTTATAGGATTTTTCAATAGAGCAATTTTTATGAAAATCAATGGTTTTTACGTGTAATTTTCGTTCCGTGTACTATGCATAGGCACGGTGCTAGAGGTTTTTGCCACGTTACTGCGATCGTTGCTCCACTGTGCAGTGTTTTGTACTTGAACTTGGAGTACGGAAGTGAAGTTTACTAGACCTCAAGGTCTTGTGGAGTCTGTACAAAGTATGTGCTGTAGTTGTTATACAAAGTCACCAACCAACGATCCGTGGTACACAAATGCATCCACCACTTCCAACTCATCTCCGTCGATTACGAGGGGGGCGGTGGCTCTATCTAAGATGCAGGAAAAAATATTTTGCTGTTGTTGAGATACGCGCACACTTAGTAGATAGAAAGAAGATTGATGAAGATTTTGATGTTTTCCTGCAAAAAGGAGGAGAGCGATGCGAGGAGATGGGCTTAGATAAAAAAAAAAACCGTGGATTCGCTAGCCAACAGCGGAAAAAAAAATCATTTTTTGGGCTGAAATTTTTCGAAAATAAAGTTGAAGTGTTGCTTAATAACATACTGAAACCCCGAAGTAATTGCATTTATTCTAACGTTCTAAAAAAATAGCAAAAATTCAGGGTATTAACAAAAATTACATGGTACACCTATTGAGATCTCTAAAAAAGGTTTTTAGAGATCTCAACCGGTGTCCCCCTTTAGAAAACTTATTTACATTTTGAGAGAAAAAAAAACTATTATGATTTTACAAATAGTTCAAATTTTTTTTTCAAGATTCTTGAATTTACCAAAGTTGGAAATTGTTTGTTTGTTAATGAATTAGCGGGGGAGGGTTAGTTGGTGACATGACAGTAATTATTAAAACTATCAGAACATTTTCTTTCATCTCCAATAAGCTATCAACATTAAATTTTCATTTTTCATTATACTTGGCTGTATTTGATAACTCAATCGTTTCAACTATTGCAATAAACAAAGACACTTTTTTTGTACATTTTATACACGCATAAATTGCGACTGTTTGGTCAGTACGGTTCCGTTCATATTCGAAGTAATGAGATGGGATATGTCAGTGCGGTCAGTACCGGATCAGCGTTTAGTTCAGAGCACGGGCCTTAGCTTCGGCGACGGCCTGGAAGTGTTCAGCCTTAGCTTGGGCGACTTCAGGGGTGTCCTGAACTGGCTGTGGCAGCTCTCCAGCGGCATACAGGTTGCTGCTGTAGAAAGCTGGAGCTCCATAGCTGTAAGCGTAAGCTGGGGCGTGGTTCCAAGCGTAGGAGGCTGGCAGGGAGTAGGACTTCAGTGCGACAGCCGGAGCCGCATCACTGTAGGTAGCATAGGAGAAATGAGCTGGGGCAATAGCTGCGACTGGGGCTTGAGTGGCGTAGGTGGCGATGGCCAATGGTTCCTTCTTCAGGTTCAAGGTGGAATGGGAGTAAGAGAATCCCGAAGCTGGAGCCAGGGCAATTGGAGAAACGGCAGCGTAGGTGGTGATTGGAGCGGCAATGGCGGCAGCTGGAGCAGCGCTTACCACAACGGAACTGTCTTCGTAGTTGTTGCTAGCAGTGGCAGCATTACGCAGCTTAGCTTCCTCAATGGCAACCATGTGGTCAGCCTTAGCCTGGGCAACTTCGGGTGTGTCTTGAACTGGTTCTGGAGCCATGCGCGTTTCGACTGGAGCCTGTGGGAGGTTGCTAGCCTGAGCACGGAATCCATTGACGGCGTCGGCAGTGTAAGTCACGGTCTGCAACATGTTTTCGGCATCCAGGTAGCTGTACGATCCACGGGTCACACCATCGAGCGACTTAGTCTCAGCCTTAGCCGAAAGTCCTCCGTTGTATCCATATGAGTATTGTCCGAGGCTGTCCTGGGCGTGGTACTGGCTGGATAGTTCTGCCGGAGCTGCATAGTAGGCAGTGGCTGGAGCGTATCCGTACAATCTTGGCGCCAAAAAGCTGGTCGAAGCCGAAGCAACGGCCAACAGGGACGAAACAACAACGAACATCTTCATATTTGATATAATTTTTAAAACTTTTGCGCTGCTGGATTTCCAGTACTCGCTTATTCAGAGGATTGCAAACGATTGATACTTTTGAAGGCAACCTGTCGTTCTATTTATACGCATCCAGAAGAGTGATTCGCCCAATGTCAACGAACAGCGCATCAAGGAGGTTAGCGCAAAATTCTTTCAAAAGTAAAAGTTGCTCCGGTTTAACTTCCTGCAGGGCTGCTATTCGCGCTCTCGCGACCACTGGCTCGTTTTGCTATCATCCCGATCCCTGATGGGTTCTCTCGCACAGCATAATTTTACGCATGTAGTGCTTGGAGCCTTTGATATGGGAACAATGTTATTGCGGCAGTAAAACTGGTGCGAAAACGAGTTTGTCGGAAAATTAATGTGCTATAGTGTGTAGTAAATTTCCAAAATGATTTTAATCCTTTTCCAACAAGAGTTTTTATCGTTGTGCTTTGTAACTGACAACCGTTGTAGTGTGTACCTAGCAAAAATGAACCCAGGGACTTTCGTGGAAGATCTATCTCTAACTAATTTGATTAACCTTATGCTAGGAAGGGACTTTTTATCGAAATCACTTGATTTATTGAATGAAGTGTATGCTTCATGGACAGTAGTGGTAGCCGAAAAAGGCGTGCTAGGGGAAATGGCTCTAATGGTGGCCTATGGATCTAAGATTGGGCACATCGCTAAAAATCTCCTAGTTATCAATTTTATCTCGAAGAACGCGGCTTTCGGACGGTAGTAATGGATATTTTTGGTCGCCATTGAAAATTTAGTCGATTGCTGAATTTATGTATGGGCCCAAATTAGGGGCATTTAGGCCGACATTATATCCATTTCCCCTATCACTCGAAATTGAAAAAAAAACAAAATTTATCACACTGTTTCCCTCAATCACGTTTTTAATTATCACTGAATGATTGATTATCTTAAACATTTCATCTAGATAAAATTGATAAATAGCAAATTTTTAGCGATGGGCCCAATCATAGATCCTTAGACAAACACTAGAGCCATTTCCCCTAAAACACTAGTTTACAGCATATTTGAACTTTGTACGTTAAATTCGTGCGCTGAATCCAAAAATGTAGTCCAAAAAATCTCAGTAAGACAGTTTTCGAAACATAGATAAAAATGAAATTTCACTTAAAAAAATGTTTTTTTATTTAAAAAATTTAATTTATTTAACGTCAAATTAAAGATGATAAAATTTGCTTTCGATTGTTTAAAACCCATTTTTCAGTGAGATTAATGGTACAACCACTACAATCATTTTTATTTACACTGCTTAAAACTTAGCGGAAATTCAAAATTTCTTAGAAAAATGCAAAACATATAAAAAAATAAACCAATTATTAATTACCAACAATACCACTAATCTCACTAACAGTTGATGTTCAGTTGATTGAAAGAAAATTTTCTTACCTTTAATTTGGCGTTAAAATAATTGATATAGGGGAAATGGATGTAATGTCGGCCTAAATGCCCCTAATTTGGGCCCATACATAAATTCAGCAATCGACTAAATTTTCAATGGCTGGGATGTTCTGAGGAATAACATATCTGATCGCGTTTTCTGTCGGAAGGAAAGTAAAGCCGTTGTTCCCCGGTTCATGAGTTGATGGGTCGATAGGTAGGGTCCAGGTGTGGGAGCTGCCTTCCCTGACGTCGGTAGCATTGGTGCTCAGAACGGAAAACAAGATCGACGGAAAACAAATCAACAAATGATAATTCTCCCGAATATCCTAGTAAATACAATATAGACTTAAGTAACGTTAGTGGGCCACCAAACGACGTATAATATTAGTCAAAGAAAAGAAACGCGGTTATTGGCGCAATTTCGTCGAGGGACTCTCACGAGAAACCTCAATGAACACCTTGTGGAGGGTGGCTCGGAACATGCGTAACCGCTCATCTTCTAATGATAGTGAAGAATACTCCAACCGATGGATATTCGATTTCGCTAAAAAGGTCTGTCCGGACTCAGTTCTAGCATAACACATTCTTCGAGAAGCGTCTCCGAGCGGCGGCTCTCTGGATAGACCATTCACAATGCTGGAATTTTCTATTTCATCGAACAACCCCACACCGGGCAGCGATATGATTAAATTCAATCTTCTGAAAATTTTCCCAGATATCGCTAAAAGACGCTTGCTAGACTTATTCAATTCTTTACTAGAAAACAACATTGTACCGCCTGAATGAAGACAGGTCAATGTAATAGCCATTTAAAATCCTGGCAAACCAGCGTCTGACCCAAACTCATACCGTCCAATTGCGATACTTACGTGCATTAGGAAATTGTTGGAGAAAATGATCCTTCGGAGACTCGATCAGTGGGTCGAAACAAATAACTTACTATCAAATACACAGTTTGGGTTCCGCAAGAGCAAAGGAACAAACGATTGTCTAGCGCTGCTTTCCACAGATATTCAACTGGCCTTTGCACACAAGGAGCAATTGGCTTCAGTATTCTTGGACATTAAGGGGGCTTTTGATTCAGTTTCCATTGAAATTCTGCACAGATGTGGACTTTCTGGAATTTTAAATAATTTCTTGTACAATTTGTTGTCAGAAAAGCAAATGAACTTCTCCCTTCGACAACTGACAACTTCCAGAATTAGCTACATGGGCCTGCCCCAAGGCTCATGTCTCAGCCCTCTTCTTTATAACTTTTATTTAAAAGATATCGACAACTGTTTGGCAGAACAATGCACGCTTAGACAACTTGCAGATGACGGTGTGGTTTCCGTAAGAGGTCCACATGCCGTGGACATGCCAGGACCAGGGCTGGTAAATTTCATTTTCAATGAAAGATCTCTGTCACGATGATAGAGATTTTCTTCAAAATCCCATAGAATTTTTCGTCATGACAAAATGTGACAGTGTTGTGATCATCGTAATTACTAGCTCATTTATTGGTTTTAAAGTTACTTGTACCGAGAAAATCGTAACAATATATTGACTCTAACGATCACCTTCGGTTACTTGCTTGAATTAATCTAAATCAGTTAGAAATGTAGGTACAAAAACCGCAATAGAATTATTCTCATGAGTGCTTGATCATTGGAAAATGACAAGAAAACTAATGATAGATAGTTTCATCTCGTGATAGTGAGAGGACCTGTTTTCTCATTCTCACATGACGGCCGTGATATTTACCAGCTCTGGCCAGGACCTTTGCAAAGTTCCTTAGATAACTTGTCTTCTTGGGCGAATTCTCGCCGCAGAAAACTGAACGGGTATGGTTTACTCGAAAGTGGTACCCAGCCCAAATGCATCTTAATCTTTTGGGCAGAAACATTACTCAATCATTGTCTTTCAAGTACCTTGGGGTCTGGTTTGATTCAAAGTGCACTTGGAATACCCACATTACGTTTTTGAAGCAAAAATGTCAACAGAGGATCAACTTTGTCCGTTCAATTTACGGCACATGGTAGGGTGCTCATCCGGGAGACCTCATAACGCTTTATAAAACAACAATTCTCTCTGTTCTAACGTACGGGTCTTTCTGCTTTCTCTCGACAAGAAAATGTCACCTAATAAAATTGGAACGAATTCAATATCGTTGTCTGCGTATTGCTATTGGCTGTATGCACTCAACGCATAACATAAGCCTCGAGGTTCTGGCAGGTGTTACACCCCTCCAGAACTGTTTCAGGGAGCTCTCTCTCTCAGAATACTAATCAAATGCGGAGTGACAAACACACTTATAATTGCAAATTTTGAAGAATTTTTTGAGCTGAACAGATAATCTCGATTTATGAGAATCTACCACCACTAAATATCCTCGGATATGTGTCTTCCTTGTTACACTCCAGACCGTGCTCACTTCACCAATCGCAGTTCCTCAATTGAATATGATCTGACCATGAAACAAGCAACTCATGGGATTCCCGATCAACTTCGACCTATTATTATCCCGCGAATTTTTACTGAAAAGGACCAACACGTCAATTGCGTGAAAAAATATTTTACAAACGTGTCTCGTCTTAGTGGATCCACTGGCTTCGGTGTCTTCAATGAAAACTCTAGCGCCTTCCTCAAGCTTCAGGAACCTTGTTTCGTTTTTGTTGCTGAGCTGGCAGCAATCAACTTCGCATTGGGGATGATTTCGAACATGCCCGCAGACCATTACTTCATCTTCTCGGATAGTCTCAGTTCGATCTCTCGCAAAGGTGGGCGCGCAGGAAGGCGAATTTTATGACAGGCAAATTTCACACGATGAATTTTACCATTTAGTGCGTCAGAGTACCCTTTCGAGTTAGCAAACCGATTGGGACACTTGGAATCTTGGACGGTGGTTACATTCAATTATTCCTAATGTTTCAAGACCAACAATTGAAATGGCCTTAACTCCATTTTGTAAACAAACCTTGTAAGGCCATTTTCTCGCGAACCGAAACCTTCATTTGCAAACCTAAACCACAATCGGGTAGAGGAGAATTTCCCTTGCCTGTTCATTATGTTGGTTTGCCTTTGCGGACTTCGGTTCGCGAGAAAATGGCCTTACAAGGTTTGTTTACAAAATGGAGTTAAGGCCATTTCAATTGTTGGTCTTGGTTTCTTCGAGAGCGTGGTTTAAAGGCTTGGGCTTAAGTCGTGACTTCGTTCGCGTGATGAGTAGACTTATGTCCAGCCACTACTCGCTAGATGCGCATCTCAATAGAATAAACCTCTGCCGGTGTGGAAACGGTTACGATGACATCGATCAAGCAGTTTGGCAATGTGCGGATAATGAAGACAACCCAATGTTCCTATCAGAGACGTGTTGGGAACTCGCGATATCTGCTATTTGCAGTCGGTTTATGTGTTTCTTCAAATGTCTAGTAAATGAATTTAGTTTCTTTGTCTTTTGTCTCTCTTTAATAGTTTTTGTTTGTCTTGTCCCTCCGTCTTGATGAGTCTCATCGTCGCCCACTGGTCACCATAGCCGGTCGAACTCCAGACGATACTAGAACCGCGCTACCGTTCATACTGGTGACATTGCTCTGATGAGACAACGAAACCCTACCCCCAAGCTCCTCCCCTTTTCCTATCCTTCGACAATGTACTCCTCTAACTACCC